CGCCATGATTTATCTCCTTTTCATGGACTTTTAGGTTCTCCTTTTTTTGTTTATGAAGTCTCCCATGATCATTCTTGTACATGTTTTCTTGTATAGATATGTACAAGAGTTCTCTAGGGCAGAAACTTGGAAGTGGAATTATTGGGTTCTGTGGGATGTGCATTCTCACCTTTACCAAATTGTTCCTCAGAGCTGTGTGTGAGTTCCCCAATCTTGGGTATTATTAGACTGCTTCAATCTTTCCCCTGTCCTGTGAGTATGAAACAAAATTTCTTAAACACAACAGAAAAGACTTGTGCTATGGGATATTTTAAACATGTACAAAAGCAGAGTGATTAGAGAAGTAAACCTATGTGTTCCATCAACCTGCCTGGACCACCATCAACATACTGCCCATCTTGCTTCGTCTGTAACCTCACTCCCTCTCCCCTCCTAGTGTTCTAAAGAAACCTGAGGTGTCACGCCATTTTATATACAAACACTCATTTTGCATCACCAGCACATAACTCTTTCATACATAGCCTCATTAACATGTTCCCACTAAAAAAAAAAACCCTGGTAATCCCTTAATACTCTAAAATATCAGTCAAAGTTGCAATTTTTCTAGTTGTCTTACAGTATTTTTACATTTGTGTCTTCAAATCAAGATCTAAATATGGTCCATACATTGTAATTGGTCTCAATCTATAGATTATATGTGTGTGTATGTGTGTGTGTGTGTGTGTATATATATATATATATATATATATATATATATATACACTTAATTGCCTCCCCTCTCCCGAAAAAAAGAATTAAAAAAATACAGATTCTCTCTGCTCTCCCTTAAAATATCTACCTTGTGCTGTTGGTAGCCATTAATGAGCATTGCCTAGAAAATCTACTAATTCATTAGGACTTGCAAAACGGTACTCTTCTAGCATTCTTGTAGCTCTTGTTATTTATTAGCAGAATACGTCTATAAAGAAAGATTTGTTCTCATTTAACAGTTGGCCATCTTGAGATCCAGTTAGTAAAGAAAGACAGGATGCATTTTCTTTCCTTTTATTCACCGACTTTTAAGACAGTTATTTTAGTCACCCAATATCCTCCTGAGGTGGTCACTGAATTGATTTTAGTTGTCTTTATAAACTCATGGTGTGTTCCAAACCATTACAGTAATTGCCCCTATTGATGCTCAGATTGCCCAGCTCTGACCAGTGGGAGGCTCTGTAAGTTGGCTCCTAAGTTCTTTTGATGCAGTCCTACTAGTCTTTGACAATTTTCTTGTTTTCTGGTATGATGAGCTGTTTCAGTTTCATTTTGTACATTTCCTGCCCGAAACCTCGCATCAGCCATTTCTCTAAGGAGTCCTGGTCTCATAGCTACCCTCTGCCTAACACATACAAAAATTCCAGTCTCTCATAAGGAAAGAAAATGTTCATCATAATGTTGTTTACATAGACAGTCTAGGCACAGCAAGCCATTTTTATCGAGGAATGGTGGGAACCCTCCTGAAATCTGAATTCACAAATGCCAGCCAAGGGCCCACCTTACAGGCTGGCCTTTTAAGGACAACAGTCTCAGGCCTGCTACGTTAACTCTTTTCTGCACCGGTGCTTATTAGACATTTTGTGGAGATGAGGAGTAAGTAGAAAGTTGGATAAGGGGTCAGGAGTTCAGAGGAGGGGATGTCATGGAGATATACACCTGGTCGTCATTAGTGTGGAGAAGGTATTTAGATCCAGAGACTGAATGAAATTCACCTAGGGGGTGAGTACAGAGAGCGATCCAAGTACCAGGCCCTTGAGCAAGAAGTTCAGGAGATGAGGAGCTGCAAAGAAGACTAAGAAGGAGCTCCCGGGGAGGTCATGTGAGGTGGAATGAGAATCAGGAGAATGTGGTATCCCTAAAGCCAGATGAAAAGAAGAGGGGAGTGATTGGTGGTGTCCGATCCTGCTGACAGTCTGAGTAAGTTGACTGGTGCCAATGCAGAGGTTACTGGGGACCCTGTAATACTGTTTCAGTGGACTGGTTTGGACCAGTGCTTGACTGGAGTGGGTTTAGGAGAGGATGGGAGCAGAGGGAGTATAGACAGTTCTTTCAAAGAATTTTGCTGCAAAAGGGAGCAGAAAAAATGGTGCGATAAGAGGAGGAGTGTAGGAGCTGAGGAATAACAGCATGAGGGAAATAACTGCATGTTTGTATGTTGATGGAGATGCTCAGAGAGAAAAATCAACGACGTAGAAGGAAAGGGAAGAATTGTTGTAGCCGGGCTGGGGATGAGGGTATAAGATCTGACGTCTAAGTGAGGAAGAGATGGCCTTGCTTAGAAGCCTGGACTTGCTGTGAAGTTCATCCATAGTAATAGGAAGGTGGGCAAAAGTATTTGGGTACAATAGAGGTGGGTAGATAAGTTGCTGAGAACTTGTAAATGGAAACAGCACGGTCACCAGTGACACTTGAGGATTGGGGAGGAGATGCTGGGGATTTAAAGAGTGAAAAAGTAGAGAAGAGCTATCTTACAGAATGAATGGACATGGAAATATAAGGTTACTGGGTACCACCTTGAGGTTAGTGGTAATGAACTTAAAATGAGACTAGTTTTCATTGGCTACAGGTGTAGAGTGGGTGATGCTTCAACCAGGGTTTGCGTTTAGCTGGGCAAATACCGTGGAGAGGAGAGCAGCAGAATTAGAGATGTATGATAGGGAATGATTATAATAATGGACCATGAATTGTAAACTGACTGACTATGCTTCAGTAAAACAGTGAAATAAAGTAAAAAAGAAACAGAAGCAGAAAAACTGAGGAGTAACAGCAAAAGGAGGAGACAGGATAGAGTTGGAGTCCATTGCACCTTCAATTATGTGCATAATTTTGGGGATGGAAGAGAGAACTATAGATGATCAAAATTGTGAATATTTTAAAGTTCTTTTTGGCTTTGCCATAAAACAAAAATACACTTGACATAAAGGGGAAAAAATGTACCATGGAATTCTGCTGTTTGAGGAGAAAAGTGAAGAATGAGACTGTAAAAATGCGGTATGATCAGTGTGTTCAACATAGATCCCACATGGTCATAGAGTTGTTGGAGTTGTGCATTTAGAGGGAGTAAGTCTAAGACTGAACAAAGTAGTCAGACAGCTGAAAGCTTGAAGCTGAGATTAAGGAAAAGTGTGCTGTTATTGACAACGGTAGGGTATATAATTATGAGAATGGATAACTAAGATAAAGTGGAAAATAAGATCAGTGGAGGAGAAGAGGTCAGGGAATGCAGAGGCCAGGATATTGGAAGGGACATCCATGTTGATGTTGAAATCACAGGAATTATAATCGAGTAGGTTATTAGATTTGAAAGAGGTGACCATGAGCAAATCTTCAAGGAATGGTAAGAGTGATTGGGGATTATAGCTGTCATTTCTATGTACGGCCATACCTCCTGCACTTCCACCTGGACTTTTCGTGATATGAAACCTTCTTACCTGTTGGCAAAGGACCCTGTACTCTAGGCATGCCATGGTGCTCATAACTGCCTTTTACGGATGCTCTTTCTTCTGTTTAGATGCTCTCACAGTGCTTGCCTTCCACAGTAGCATTCTTCCCCAGTAGACTACCATTTCCTGTTTATAGTTCATAGCACTTATGACATTATTTTGAAACTATTAGTTTACATTCACTATTTTTCTTTCCTTTTTCCTTTCTCAAAACCAGGCTAACAGTTCCCTTAGGCCAAGAACCTTACCTATCTTTTTGTCCCTGTAGCACTATAGAAAAGTTACCAGCAAACTCTAGGAACAGATCTATTTAATAAATACTTTTTGAAAGTCTATTATTATCAAGTAAATAGTGGTATGAGTCTTTATTTTTATCTCGCTAAATATGATGCTTACTTAGATTTACTTATATCAAGTGCCACAGTTAATGAGAAAAAGTTTAAATTATAGTGAGTTTCTTTTATCTGTGTATTACAAAATGACTATTCCTAATCTTTCTATTTGTATTTCAGAGAAGATTAAAAATACAGAAGCAATTATTGATTGTGCTAACAGATTGGAGTGAAGCTAGATAATAAAGTCACATGTACATTTTGAAAAGAACCTTGGTTTTTTATTTTCTCTTCTTTCTGGTTGGAGCCTATTTCGGTCTTGGGAATTGAGTTCACAGTTGAAGGAATGGGACCCTAGACTTACTGACATAATCTATGGAGTAAAGAAAACAGGAGATGTAAAGGTATAATTAAACAAATCCCGTTTCCCCCCTTCTTTACTAACTTGATATTTGAATGGTGCAAGTTTTTACAAGAAATGAACATGTTAAGAATTTTCTCATTTGTGTTAATATGCTTAGTTTAATTTTCCTTAAAGAGAGTCTCTTTGTGAGGATTTTGTTTTGCAGATATTTTGATTTCTCCTTATGATTTCTTGTATATTTATCACTTTTGTAACTAAATGTAGTACCAATATAAATCACCTCTATTAATTATGTTTTTGATCCATAGTTCATATTACATTTGCTTTGGGGATATTATAAATTAATATCAGTATATACAAATCTACTGACAAATGCTCATTTTAGATTCTTCTTCTTTTTTTTTTTTCCAGAGACCATGAGTGGAGGATCTCAAGTCCACATTTTTTGGGGTGCTCCAGCTGGTCCTTTGAAAATGACAGTATCACAGGAGCCAACTTCCTTAATGTCTACTGTTGACCCCTGGAAAGAAATTCAGCTTTTCTGTAATCAACATTCTTTACATCTGAAGGATGGAAAATACAGGCACAAAAGTCTTGAAGACCGTCAGGCCCTGGAGACTCTGGGCCCTCCAGATCCTCCTCATCATTTTCCAGCAGGCTGTATGAGCAGATCTGTTCACACGAAAGACAACTTCATACAGTGCATTTCTGAAACACGAGCTATAAAATCCCAGAAGAGTCACCCCTCAGGAATGATTGATGGAACCAGCTCCTATGAGCAAACATGTGGATTTAAGGGCAGAGTTCAGCATTTAGCTGAAGAAGGAAGGTATCAAATGCTCTTCAGTGAACATAAGAAAATCACAGATGAACAGTGTGAAGATCAGTCAAATGTATGTGGTCAGAACTTTCCCCCAAATTCCCTGCAATTAGATCATAAATGTGCAGCTGTGTTGGATGCAGTCGGTAGGACTGAACAGACTAACGTGGAGCCAGGAGCTACGGAAACAAAGTGTGCACCAGCAGAACATCATGAACTGCAAAACCCACGCCTGGAGCTCTCTTCCTCTAACTCAGTAGACAAGCCGAGGCCCGAGGGAGCGGTTAGGAAGGTCTCAGTCCTTAAAATATCGACTGAGACTGAATTCCTCAGTATAATGACCTCCAGCCAGGTTGCTTTTTTAGCTCAAACGGAGCGTAAAGGGCAGAATTCTGTAACTAAAGGGACTGTAAACATGGCGATCAAACCAGAGGCAAGACATGGGGAAATAAGAGTAACTGAAGATAGTTTAAATCAGCCTAATGATGATTCTGCAGAAGGATATGAAAGTGGACAAGACCAAGCCAGTTCCCTTGAACTTTTTAGCCCTGTTTGTCCTGAAACAAAAAGTAGCCACGTTCACATAGACTCTGATAAAGGTCTTGAAGAAAATACAGACTCTGAAGAGCTTTTCAGTTCCGAAGATAAACTGCCACCAAATGAGATATGTATTGAGTCGTGCGGCTCAGGAATCCTGTGTTCCCAACTAAATACCTTTGACAAAAGTTCTATTAGAAGAAGTTGCACCTCTGAAGATAAATCAGGCTGTTCTAAAACTCCATCTGAAACCCCCCACATAGCTAAGAAAATTAAGTTGATTTCTAATGTGCGAGATCATGCTGTAGCAGCGGACCCGAGGAATGTGTCTGAATTTAAGGGCATTAAGAAGACATCATTAATAAAACACTGTGTTTCTAAAAGTCGGAAGTATAATTGTTTAGTCATGGTGTTGTCTCCATGTCATGTGAAAGAAATAAATATAAAATCGGGACCAAATTCTGGCTCTAAAGTGCCTTTAGCAACAATTGTGGTAATTGACCAATCAGGAATTAAGAAGAAGGTTTTCCTGTGGAGGGCTGCGGCGTTTTGGGCACTTACAGTGTTTCTTGGCGATATAATTTTACTCATAGGTAAGGTCATCATGGGATAGTGGGAGTTTATTTTATAAAGCTGGGGGCTTTTTTCGTCTCCCACTTTAAGCGTTTGAGGATTCTTGTTTACTGTCTGCCTCTCAGGGCACCAGCACAATGGAGCGCCTTAGAGCATCCGCGTTGGTCCCCTCACGGCTGCCCAGTGTCCTGTGTGTTGCCATTTCTGGGCGTTTGTTCTGGCCTTAGTTCTGTCCCTCCTTCCCACTCATCTTCTCCTTAAGAAGTCTTCTCTGGTTGCTCGTCTTATTCATTCACTGTGCTGGCATGCAGGTCGTATCACCAGGCTCTTTCTCTCTTTTCTTGTAGCTCTGTCTATGTGTGTCTTATTTTTAACCCTTTTCTTTAGCTATATGAACAGTCTTATGATGAAAGGACAGCCTTTCTACTACTTCACTTAATCCCTTGTAACGCTGTCCACGTTACATTCTTATTGAAGGAACAGATAGAGAATTTCTATTGCATTTTTAAATTATTAAAACTACAATTGACTTTTTTAAAATATATTTTTATTGAAGTACAGTCAGTTTACAATGTTGTGTCAATTTCTGATTTACAGCACAGTACTTTAGTCACATAGGAACATACATAGATTTGTTCTCATATTCTTCTTCGCCAGAGATTACTACAAGATACTGAATATGGTTCCCTGTGCTGTACAGTATAAACTTGTTGTTTTACGGTTGACTCTTGAACAACCAAATCAGTGAGTGGGCAAAGAAACAGGAGGCAAAGGCTGGGCTCTCAACACCCCTCCACCTCATCACCGGTAATTACCATTTCATTAATCCGAACATAGCTTTTACAGTCTAGTTTTCTGAAGGCTCTCTGTGAAATTTCTTATTTGTTCCTTTCTGAAGAGCAGGCGTCCCGAACGTCTGATCATGAAAAGTCTTCAATGCTGTGCTAGCTATTCCTGGCCAGGCCAGAGGGGGCCACTGAGGGTTTTTAAGCAAGTCACTAGATCACATTAATGTTCTCGATAAATCACTCATTTGCATTGTGGGACATGGGTTGGAGGTGGGAAGGGGCCCTGCTAGGAGAGAGAGAAATGGCAGGGCTGTGGGCAGATTCAAGAGGCTGAGTCAATGGTTAGGGGGTTGGAGACAAAGTGGGAAGGGAGAGGTAGAAGTTCATGGTGACTTCACATCTTAATCGACCTGGCTAGCAGCATAGGGCCCAGAAACGAGATGGGGAACGAGTCGAAAAGCAGGTTTGAACAAGGCTGAGTTTGGGGAGCTAACAGATTATCCAGTCTGGAATGTCCATTAGGCATTTGTGGGTAAATGGGTAAATAAGTTTGCCTGAAGCTGAAGAGAGGATCTGGGACATACATTTGGAAGCACTTACTTGGAATTTATGCATCCTTGTTTTCTTTCTTATTATCTTCTTATTAGTTTTCTGCTATTAGTATATCTTTATACCTCTAACATTTGTTTTTTTATTATTGAAGTACAGTCAGTTGACAATGCTGTGTCAGTTTCAGGTATACAGCATAATGTTTCAGTCATACATAGATACATATATAGCTAACATTTTATATACGGATTATATTCTTCCTGGGGTGGATCTGTCTCTGTCTCTAACTTACAGGTTTTACTCTACTTAGGATTGTTTCTCCCAGCTGATGTGTTTAGTCCCACTAACTATTTCTCCTTTATCCATCTTAGATCATACAGCTCTCTTTCTCCTTCTGGAAATGTTCCTTACCTCCAAAGTACTTCACTTCTAACACCTAAAGAACATGATTCCCGTATTATTTAGGGAAAAATCATCGAAGTCCTTTAAGAAAGCCTTACATTATCTTTATATATGCTTATAGCAGAAGGGGTAAATGTATACTGAGTATTTTTTACTCTTCTAGGCACTACTACTTTTCTTCCTGGCCCTAAATATTTAATTTATCAGAAATGTACATTTTTACATTTGCCTTAAGTAAGGAAAAGCCATTAAATTTTTCTCTCCAGAGCAGAGCTTCCATATTGATATTGTTTGAATATACAGAAGCAATTTTGTTGATTTTGCCTACATATAGACATACCTAGATTCAGAACTCAGATTTGCTTTAATTTTTTTTTTTTTTTTTTTTTTTTTTGCCTTTAGACAGATCATTTAACCTATTTGAGCTTTAGTGGCCTGGCATGTGAGAGGCCTGCATAGTATTTTGCTATGATGGGTAACTTAACCCCAGTGTGAAGGAATTTATGGCATGATCAGAACTTATTTTTCCCCCTTTTCTAGATGTTACTATTCATGAAGATCATTGGGTTGGTGAGACAGTACTACAATCAACGTTCACCAGTCAGTTATTAAATCTTGGGAGTTATTCATCTGTCCAGCCTGAAGAATGTAAGACACCTTTTAAATATAATAATTTCTTGGTATTTAAAGTACATACCCATAAATGGTAAATTTGCAGTATGTTTTCTAAACAGATTAGCTGAAAGATATTGGTTTATTTTCTTTAGCAAGAATGAAAAAACTTATAAAAATGAATTTGTACATGTAAATCGTATTTATTTTAAGAAATATTGGGGTTCATGTTTCATTTTCGTATTTTTCTTGGAGAATCAGTGTAGTGGTGATTCTTAACCTTTTAGGGAGTCATAGACCTCTTTGAGAAGCTGTGAGCCATTTCTTCGGAAAAATGGACTTAAGTAGATAGATATAAAATTTTGCATATCATTCCAAGTGGTTCCATGGACTTCTGAAGTTCTTCTGTTGAATTGCTGAGCCTCTGGAATCCTTGAGGTAATGAAAAAAGGGGGTTGTATGGCAAAGACATGTTGAATTTTATAAGAAACTGACAAATCATTTTCTAGAGTGGCCGTGCCATCTAAACTTCCTACCAGCAATGTGTCTTAGTTTCTCTACATCCCTGCCAGCAGTTGGTATTGTCCTGTTTCTTTTTTTATTTTAGCCATTCTAACCGGTGTGCAGTTATATCTCATTGTGGTATTAATTTGCATACCTTTAATGGCACAAGACAGATCTAACAGACAGAATATAACCAAGGAGATAAAAGATCTAAGCAATATATAGTGAATAGTATATATCTTATGAATAGGAATGGGACGTAGACATGAGAAATTCAAATTAAATTATACAGATACCATTTTTCACCTATCATAGATTGGCCAAAATTAAAAACTAGGACAGCACTTTCTTTTGATGGGGCTGTGGGGAAACAGGCTCTCTTACACATTGCTGGTGGGAATGTCAATTGCTACAGTTCTTCCGGAGGGGTATTTGTCAGTACCTAACAAAATTACATATGTTCTTAGCTTTCAACCCAGCAGGCTTACTTTTAGAAATCTGTCCTGAAGATACAACTACAACAGTACAAAAATACATATGAATTAGATTATTCATTGCAGTGTTGATTATAATTGCATGACACTGGAAAAATGAAAATGCTCATATTGGCAGAATGGCTGATTAAATCATGGTACAGTCACATGGCGGAATACTATACAGCTGTAGAAAAGAATGGAAAAGAGCTCCAAACTGATAAAGTGATTTCTAGGACATATTGTTGTGTGAAAAATACAAAGCCAAAAAAAGTATATGTTGTATGTTATCCTTCATGTAAGAAAGAAGGGAGGAATAAGAAAATATATAGATAACTCTTCATTTGTGAAAAAAACAATGCAGGAAGGATAAACTATGTGTAAATGTGGAGAGGGGGTGGGAAAGGGGTGGAAAGAAAGAGGGAATGGGAATAGGATTGTTGAGGAGAGAGTGCCACTTCTCTGAGTATGTGTTTTGTGTGGTTCTGACTCACAAAACCATAGTAATGTTTCATACACCGCCCCCCACCAGTAAACAAAACGAACTATAACGTGGTGGAGGGGGAGCCCACAGCGGGATACAAACACTAACAAAGGAACCTAACAGTATTACAAATGAGTGAAATACACAGAAAGGTGGGGGCAAGAAATAACAGACCTAAATAACTGTGGAAAACAATGTATTGACTGGATTCTGCAAGGCTAAGGAAAAAATAACTATATAAATGCTGTCATCTAATTAGTAAAACTGTTTCTCAAAGTTAGCAACAACTTTGTGTATGTACTAGAATTGAACAAGTAAGTAAACAAATTGTAGATAATGAGAATTGAGTTTCTCACTGTTGTAGAAAGAAATTATATATGAGGAAACAGAGGAGGTTGAAGTGAATCTTTTGGATTGGAGCTAGAGGTATTGGTAATAGACTCATGGTTTTAAATATATAGATAGATAGATAAAGAGATACAGAAATGCAGATATATGTGTATGTGTGGGTTAATCCATACAGTATATACATTTCCTAGCTCTGGCTGCTGAGACAACACAGAAGCAGTGAAGCCTCAGTATCGATGAGCATGCCTGGTGCCCAGATCTTGCTCTGCAAAGGGGCCAGCACTCTTAGTAGTGGTTGATTACAGGACTGGGACAGGGAAAATACAAGAGCCTGGAACATCTGGTGGTGTCAGAAAAGGCTTGTTTTGAAAGAACACAACCAGAAGGAGCAACTACTGGTTAAAACTGCAACAATTTAAGGGAACAAAAAGAGATAGTATGAAATTATAGCCCTTAGAATAAGATATTTATGGGTCTATACAGATATAAATAAATATTCAACCGACTGACCAACTGACTTAACTAAATAAATGCATAATAAGGGAGAGCTCTTCTTTATAATTCCAGTGAATAAACTGGAATTCCAATGAATAAATGTGAAAAATAAATACTGCAAACAAGGATCCATTGATAGATGCTAAAATTAGTAGGTGGAAGTTTGGAAGACAGCATTGCAGAATCTCAAAGTATCTTGAAGAAACTTGGCAGACACCATGTAACTGGGTGATTAAGGTAAATGTCATCAGAATTAAGATATACGGATATCATGAACTCCTTGCTATGAAAGGGACACAGCATAATTTGGGAGGTATTCTTGCTAAAAACGCATAACCTCATTGCATTCATGAGAAAACATTGGAGAAACCCAAATGGAGGGACATTCCACAAAGAAACTGGTCAGTACTCTTCAGAAGTGTTAAGGTTATGAATGACAAGAAAGACTGATGAACTATTACAGACTGAAGGAGAATAAAGAGAAATAACAAGTATATATAATGTAGAATCCTAGATAGGATCCTATGTAGAAGGGTATTACTGGGAAATTGGTAAGATTTGAGTAAGATTTATAGTTTTGTTAATAATATTTTACCAGTATGAATTCTTCTTCATAATTATTCTGTGATTATGTAAGATGTTCACATTAGAGGAGGTAGGGTGAGGAGTATAAGGGAACTACTATTTTTGCAACTTTTTTGTAAGTCTAATGTTAGTTCAAAAAAAGAAGTTAGAAAAAAGCCATGTATGATCATCTCAATAGGTACAAAGAAAGCTTTTGAAAATAAGATCCAACACTTATTCATTGGAAATAGAAGGAGATTTATTTTAACTTCATAAAGAGTATCTTTAGGGGGGTAGGGTATAGCTCAAGCGGTAGAGAGCATGCTTAGCAAGCATGAGGTCCTAGGTTCAATCTCCATTACCTCCTCTAAAATAAATTAAACAAACAACAAACAAACAAAACCCACCCTAATTACCTCCCCCTGTCAAAAAAAAAAAAAATAAAACAATTTTTAAAAATTAAAAAAAAAGTATCTTAAAAAAATGCAGAGCAGATATCCTAATTGGAGAAATATTAGAAACATCCCTTGAAAAAATTAAAAATGAGACTAGGATGCTGCCGTTACTACTGTTTTCAATATATTATTGGAGATACTAACCAGTGTGAGAAAACATGGAAAAAGAAATTTCCAAAAAGATTGGAAAAGAAGAAATAAAGCTGTTGTTATTTATAGACCATATGATGAATTATTATTACATATAGATTTACACAGGCTCTTTCCCCTCTCAAAACTATAAGCAAATTATTAGAAATAATGGGAGAGTTTAGCAAGATGGCCAGGTATAAAGTTAACATACAAAAGTCAGTTGCATTTCTAGAGTGGAGTGACAATCAGCTAGTAACACAAATAAAAAGAAGGCACCATTTATAATACTTTGTGGTATTAAGTATCTGCTAATAAATTGAATAATTTTATTGTTAAAGGAAACATTTAAAAATTAAGAGATTTTAAAGAAGAACTAGATAAACATATACGTTGTTCATTGATTAAACAATTTAACAGTGCGAAGATTTCAGTTCTCCACTGCTTGATCTATAAATTCAGTACAAATCCAATTAAAATCCCAAAAAGATTTTCATGAAATTTGATAAGAAAGAGTAAGTGGTCAAAAGCAGGCTGGCCATTTTTGAAAAAGAAAAGCAAAAGAAGGAATAATTTGCCCTCTTAGATGTTAGGATTTGGTATGAATTTGTAGTAATTAAAAACAATATTGTGGGGTGCTCAGTGGAAGAGCTGCTGCTTAGCATGCACAAGGTCCTGGGTTCAATCCCCAGTACCTCCATTAAAAAATAAATAAAAATGAAACTAATTACCTCCCCACCAAAAAGAATTTTTTGGTAGCTCACAGAGAGAAAAATGTGACAATGAATATATATGTGTTCATGTATAACTGAAAAATTGTGCTCTACACTGGAATTTGACACAACATTGTAAAATGACTATAAATCAATAAAAAATGTTTAAAAATTTTTTTAAAATTTAAAAAGTAAATTTAAATAAAAGGAAAAAACAAACAAACCAGAAAACCAAACAAACAAACCAAAAAAACAATATGGTTTTGGCCAACTGATGTTAGCCAATATTTAAATTTTTGGATTTTCTTTAAAAGATTTAAGTTTAATCTTTCATTGTTGATATTTGAAGTTGCTACATCTTGGAAAACATTTCCAAGGAGCTAAATGGCTTTTCAGTAAAATTCACCATGTTTTATAGATGTTAATACAATGGAAGGGTAAAGAGTGTGCTGAAATGATGAAAATAGCATAGTATGCAAATATTTTGCAAGGGATTTGAGAGATAGATGTAGTAAGCTCTGGTTTTCAGGCTGATCTAGATTGACGTAAGGTTGATGTCATTCAGTAATTTCATAAAAATCTTAGGATCTAGTTCTCGATGGAGAATATCCCATGGAACACCTGGGGAGCTTCAGGTTTAGTTGAACAGTGTGAAAAACCTTTAACTAATTAACTAAGCTTTAGAGTGACTTCAAATTTGTTTTTATACTTACATAGGAATTTATATTGCCTTGTTTTTCACAGGTTACACAACTTAGTAGCTAAATAAAGTATATGCTAAGCCTTTTTTTTTGTTTGATTCAGTTGGTACTTTGAAAATATTTGCACTTATTTTTCTTCTGAAAGAATAAGTCCATTTGGTTAGTTCAGGGTTTTGGGGGTTTTTTGTTTTTGTTTTGCAAGTTGTTACAACTCAAGAGCATTCTTACTGCTGATCAGTATATGTTGTTTCCTTGTTATAGTAAGGTGTTACAAGTTTTACAAACCTAGTCCTGATAATGTGAAAGGATGTAAATTTATCTTAAATATTATCAAATTAAATATTATTAAATTAAGTGTATAAATCAAAGGTTAACACAATGTTTCCATGAAGTAGACTGTTTTATTTGAAATCTAAGTAATCAGATGTTTCTGTACAAATTTTTACAAAGTAGGGTTAAGTAAATAATTTGTTATTAGGGATCTTCTTTTCCCTCCAAAAGCTCTTATTGTAGATAAAGAATAAAGCCCAGACAAATTGTGTACAAGTTCACAGGAGTCATTATTGACAAAGCCAGAGTTTGAACCCAGCTCTTCTGATTCCGGATGTGCTAGAAATATTGTGAAAGAGGAATCAGGAGGTCTGGCGAATCAGGTGGAGCTGTGGACGATGTTTGGAGTTGGATTTTGCTGTAACCCAGTTGATGTTTATCCCCCCTCTTCCCCTCTTTCTGTCATTCATCTTTCATGCTGTCTGTTCTTTTCTCTTATACTCATTATCTTTTGATAGTACCTTTGTTTTTTAAAATCCATTTAGGAATCAAATAACCTTATTTAGAACAGATTTCATGTATCAGGTTTAAAAAACCTTAAAACATTTGTTTTTATCCATCCACTCAGTTGTTGCCAGAAATCTGGACGTCCTCTGTAATCTATTCTTTACCCTCCACATCTAATTGTTTCTTGGATTCTGTCTCTTAACTATTTCACAGATCTACACCCTTCTCCCCTTCATGCAGTCTTGCCTGGTTTCCAACCTTTGTCATCTGCTGAGTGGCCACTAGCCTCCTAAACGTTCTTCCTACTCTTTCATCTATGAAAATTGATTCCTCTGCATTAAAGGGTCCATTAACTTGGATGGGAAGATACTACATCTTTTTTTTTCCTTCCAGTTTTATTGGGATATAATTGACATACAGCACTGTAAGTTGAAGGTGTGCAGTATAATGACTTGACTTACGCACATCATGAGATGAATATCACAGTCAGTTTAGTGAACATCTGTCATCTCACTAGATACGAAATTAAAGAAATACAAAAAAATTTTTTTCTTTCTGATGAGAACTCTTAGGATTTCTTCTCTTCACAGTTTTCATGTATAACATATAGTACTGTTAATTATGTTTATCATGTTGGACATGACATCCTAGTACTTATTTACCTTATAACTGGAAGTTTGTACCTTTTGACTGCCTTTATTCAATTCTCCCTCCTCCCACTCCCACCATAAGATATTACATCTTTATTTTCACTAATTGCTCACTGCATATTATCCTTTTCTTCCATGACAAATAAGGCAACAATCCACAGTAATATTATCAGTACTTGTGACTTGGTCACCAATGAACAGCACATATATATTCATATCACATTACAGTTGTTGAAGATAACATGAATATCATTAGTGCCTGTGATACTCTGACATACTTTGAATTTACAGCAGTTACTGCATACTCTGCTATATCCTATTACTAGTTTTTTTTTTAGTTCTTTTTTTTAATTGAGGTATAGCTGATTTACAATGTTGTGTTAGTTTCTGGTGTACAGCATAGCGATTCAGTTATACATGTATATATATTTTTCATATTCTTTTTCATTATAGGCTATTACAAGCCATTGAATATAGTTCCCTGTGCAATACGGTAGGACCTTGTTGTTTATCCCATTATTTAATATTTTAATGAGGCACATAAGTTATCTCCAGTTTAAAAATATTCGATTACTTTATTTCCATATAATTGATTTTTTAATCCTGTTTCATTTTATACATTTAAAAACATTATTCTGTAATAAAAATGTTCTAAAAGTAGATAATGAAAATAGTTGCACAACTTTGTGAAATACTTTAAAAAACACTGAATTATACACTATAAAAGGGTGAATTTTATGCATGTGGATTATATTCCAATAAAGTTGTTATAAAAATATTGATCTGATAATGGGTCTCTATGCTTTATCAGCCTGCCAAAGCATCTGTGGTATGTAAAGGATTACAAACCCCTTATCCCCTCCCAGTTACTACCTAGAAACCTTTTATTAGGCATTTTTCCAAAACCCAGCTCAAATATTCCCTCAATAAAGCTTCTTCCAACTTCCCTGGGCAGTTCTTTTTGTGTGCTCTTAAGAATGCTTACATATATCGCTTGTACCCTAAGCCCAGTGTTGGCTTAGGGTTGACTACCTCTAGGTTGATCATTCCTTCAGCGTGGGATGATGGCATGGTATGTCTTTGCATCCCTAGCACGTGGTATAATGCCAGGCACACAGTGGCTGGTCTACTGATGAGTGAATGACTCATGAGGCTTTAGTGTGGCACAAGAAATACATTAGGATAATACTGATACTGGGAGAAGAAAAGAAGAATCATTTATTTTTTCTATTGAAATTGGTTAGTAAAGTCTGCTTTCTGAAAAATCCTTGTGTTTTTGCTAAGATCTTATTTTTGGTCAATGATCAATCATTTATTCAAACATACCTCCCTTTCCTTCAGGGAAATTAAAATTTAATCAGTGAAACTCACCAGTCCGTCATTTAAAATGTGTGTATTTTATTGTATGTAAATTGTATTTTAATAAAAAATGGGGAAAAAATTGAGACAGGAGAGAAAAACGTCAGTATGACACAACAACTGAAGAATTAAATAACCGATCTAAACAGCCAAGAGAAATATTATGAGGTAGCGGGAGCATGCTCAAATGCCAAATGAGAGTTAGAGATAAAAGCTAAGTTAAGGGCAAGGAGAAATCACTGGGAGTCTATAGTGGTTTTAATTCTATATAGTATTTAGATAGGCAGAGAGGAGGTTGACGGTGTTGCATCCAGTGAAAATGGTGAGGACAGAGGGTTAGAAGTGGAAAAGAATAAGGCATGTTCAGGGAGAGCCAGTTAGGCGACTCATAGAGTACTTCAGATGTGAAATTCTAAGTCTTGAGGAAGACTAGGCAGTGGTTGGGATAGTTGGGGAAGACATGATCAAATCAGACTCCAGGGATTAGGGAACCAATCGGATACAACAGGGTATTGGAGTCAAAAAATAATTGAAATAGTGGTCTTGATTAATTAGTGAAAAATGATATTATTAACAAAATAGAGAAGTAAGGGAACAGGGCAAGTTTTTTGGAGATATAAATAATTCCATTTCCATTGGTTGAAAATACCAAGCTTATTTTTGCATCTAAAACTGATTCAAGAATAAGCTACACGTTTTATAGAAATGAAATCATGTTTTACATTTAATCACACTTTACAACATACAATACAGTTCCAAGAGAAAGTTATGTTGTCAAGAAAATATAATGTTTCCATCTTTTGTACTATGTTTTTATTTTCTTTCTTAGATTCCCGTATGGTTAGTGATGTTTTACTTCAAGACTTACTGGCATATGTGTCTTCAAAACATTCCTATCTCAGAGATCTTCCTCAGAGAAAGCCTCAGAAAATGAACAAGATAGAATTTGTAGAACTGGAGCAGCTTCAGCCAGACACACTAGTCCATGCAGTTCTGAGAGTTGTTGATATCACTATACTGACAGGTAAACATTTGGGGCTCCTCCTTAATTTTAGGTTATAAAAGAAATTAAGATACAGGACCATCTTAGTGTACCATTTGGTTATCACTAGATATTTGTCTTTAGACACTGAAGTATGATATCACATGTAGTAGAGTAATGCCAACTGAAATATTCCTTTTCCTTTTCCAGAGGCATTATACAGTTATAGAGGACAGAAGCAAAGGAAAGTTATGTTAACAGTGGAACAGGCCCAAGGTCAACATTATGTCCTTGTATTATGGGGTCCTGGAGCAGCCTGGTACCCTCAACTTCAAAGGAAAAAAGGTAAATACACCAAAAAGCATTTAACTTATTTATAGTTAGGTAAATGATTAATGCTTATGAGCCTAAGATGAAAAGGCTTTGGAGATTAGACTACATTTGAAATATAATTGATCAATGATCATGACTGAAAATTCTTTTGCAGATTTCTCCTGTTATAATTTTATACTTCCTGTAAGCAAATCAGTGATCTAAAAAGTCCTCCATAATTAATGGTAGCAAAATAAAAGCTCCCATTTATTCCCTGGTATGCTACTTTACCTTTTTTGTGAAGATCTTACCTTCTTCGGATAAAGTTCTTTAAAAATTTAATTCTGGAGAAGTATCTACGATTTTTATTCAGCCAAAGTACTCTGATAAATAAACTTCTCTCTGGTCATAAGGCAGATGTTAGGAGAGTTTCATTAACTCTTTCAAGTCACAGTGTTACTATTTCATAAATGACTGTGTTCCAGGTTTTTATTCCAGTTGCTTTAAAAGTGTGGACTGTTAGCCATCCATAGAATGTTCGTGTTTAAAGGATGACCCATGACTACTACCTTTTTCTTTAAAGCATAAGTTAATAATTTTTGATGCATTGAATTAAATGGAATTGATATTTCAATAAAATAATACAATATCTTCCTTTTGACACTGTGAGACCCTTAACTGTATAATCAGAGATAGTTTAATCACTGGCTTATGAGTTATTTTACTCTGCTAAATTAATTCAGAAACTGATTAAGTGTATGACTCATTCTTTTTTACCTGAAAGAGTTAATGTTTCTTCGCAAACTTCTGTTTCAAAATAGTTATCTAAAGATAAGATCTATCACTTTGTCTCTCTTAATCATTAATAGCCCATAACTAGGATTTGAGATAAGTCTGACTTCTGACTTTTATGTTAAGATCAAACAGTGATAAATATTTGTTTGGTTGAGAAATCTGGCAAACATGTGTCAATGGCAGACAGACCATCGTTATTGACCAGGAACACGAGTCTAGTGCATGCTGAACAGAACGTGGGTCAAAGGTGTCATTCCACTTACGATGGAGCTGGAGCAAGGCAGATTGCTCCATGTTTAATACCGATATTCTTTTAAAACTAATAGTTTTTTGGTTAATAGAAGAGGAATTATAGTTATCTCTAGATAATTCTATCATACTTAGGTCAATATTGAAAATTTATGAATCCAGGAATTAAGGTATAATTGTTCTTTGTTCGTTCATTCAATAAATTTATTTATAACCACTGTTTTTAAGTTTTAATATCCACCTTAATACTTCAAGATCATTCTTTCTAAAATGGGAAAATACGGGGAGAGGGTATAGCTCAGTGGTAAGAGGGTGTGCTGAACATACTTGAGGTCCTGAGTTCAATCCTCAGTACCTCCATTAAAAA